CAAAGTCTAATCGCACGTCCACGGTGCCACTCTTGACCGATTCGTTCTGTCGAGAGCAATCGATGATCACGAACAGGCCATTACGTAAAAAAGTTGTAAAGGTAAGACTCGGCTCGAGATACTCGTATCCATAGTAGCCCTTGCAGAAACGCGCGTATAAGTCGTACAGAATCGCACATCTGTTTTTATCAAAATCTAGATTCAAATCATCGTACGGATAACATTCCGTATTCAGATAGAGTTGGTTAATTTGCAGTGGTCGAATCGACTTGCATCCTCAGACATATTTTTTCGACCTGTTTGCATAGCGAAAATGACGTAGCGCGGCTTCTCGAGCTGACTAGTCATCTTGATGACGAATGCTTGGTTGTGCTCTGCAAGAGCGGAAACTCGTACAGATCCCAAGAGCGAAAAGCCATGCTCAGATATCGTCCGCTCTCTAAAGCGCGCAGCATCGAGCTTATTTATCTCGCTCAATAACAAACACGTGCAGCATTCGCCACTGTACTTTGAATAATTCGAGCGTCGGCTCTGTCGCCGAATCTCCCGTCAGACAATTGTTGTCGTTGCGCGCTCGTATTAAAATCAATTCGTGACGAGCGTTGATCACCACACGTCTGTAATTTTCGCAAAATCCCAACAATACGTAGAGCGGTACACAGAAATTAAAGTATCCGGCCGCAGTAGTCTGCGCATCCCAGCCTGCATTCCGCAGAATCACGCTTCTGTCGGATGACACTGTTACATAGTTTTTGATCGTGCTAGTTATGCCCACGTTTCTGTTACGATTAATCTCCACACCATTTGAGTTCATATCGAATCTCATAGAATATAAACGCAACGCAATTATTTCCCAATGACACGCTAGCACCCTGGACCACTTTGTTCTTCGTCAGTTTTCCCTCGACGTACAGAAAGCTTTCGTATGGCAATGTGTATAGATCCTGTTGCTGTATGGGTATTCTTATCTCGTCGCTGTACCCGAACGTTGTGTTGGCGACCGGGTTGTACGTGTAAGTCTCAATCTTGACGATGCGATCGTCGAAGATCGGCTCGTCTTTAATGTTTAGATATCAGTCATCTCAAATGTTGAGCACCGCGAATTCCAAAGACTTTAAAAATGTAACGTTCGACGCTGAGCTTCTTCTTCTTTTTCCTAATGCAGTTGGATGAGCGAGTGTTATCGAGCTGTGACGTCGCCGGCTTTGTAAAGAATACGTTATCTCTGCATGCGCTCCGTTCCGTTCAACACGAGCATCTCACGCTCACGTTATCACTGTTTACGTCGTACGTGCAATCTAATTCTCCTCGTGTGATCTCTTCTCCTCGAAAATCGAGTAATCGTCCGTTCTGGTCGACGACGCGTATCGTTAGATCCGTAATGCTCCGTGCGACGATCGGTAGGTAAATGATCTGCGCCGGCCTTTCCGATATCTTATATCCTGGCGGCATGCTCGATGAAAATTCGTGTATCGTGTGCGCGCTTTTGCCGTTGCTGTACGCCCCCGCGGTCTACGCGGATAACGTTTACGTTCATTATGTTGATCGACATGTCTGATTCGTGCCATATTCGTGGTCGCAGTATACGCTTCGACGAGAATCCCAGCAGCGATCCGATGCTGTTGGGCTTGTTAAAGTTTATTCTGTACGCACATCTAATCTCGCATCTCATCGTGTTGTAGTTTGCGCGGAGCGTAATCGGGTATTCTCCACCCTCACCGTTATCATCATCAGCGTCATTGTTCTTATTGTCACCGCGCACTACGTCAGCGGTTTCAAGCGCGTCGCGGTGAGGACGTTTCCGTAAAATCACGCGTTTCAGAAATTCATTTATGTCTCGCATTTCGTACGAACCTTCGGGAATTGTAATTTCCGCATCATCTTTGGCCAAATAAAATTTGTTGTTCGATTTATTCACGTTCGGTATCGTGTGATAAGTCTCAAAAATTGCCAGACCGAGCTCGTAATCGCCGGCCACTCAAATCTATGGCGGGAAAGTAGTTCGCCGCGAGGACGGTGCTCTTCCTGCTCAGCGTAAGCGTCAGCGACATGACGATGTTCGACTAATACTGAGATTTCACAGCATCTCGCCCAGCTTTTTAAATTCACGCGCGTCTACCGTTTGTAGAAACCGCAGGCACATCTGTCCGCAGAAGCTCTGATCGTACGTTTGATAGGACGTACGATTGTACTCTATCGTCGTAGCACCGTTCCCGAAATATCGCACCAGTTCCTTGGGAGGTCGAAGATTATCGAAACTGTCAAAGTATACGACGCGGTTGTTCCTCTTCGCGTATACTACCCAGTGAGTACCAGGCCCCGTCGCATCGTCCAGATTCACGATACCGCTTTCGTTTCGACACGCACCGCTCGTCGGTAACGCGTTACGCATGAAAACGCCTCTAAAGTATGGTATGCGCATACGTCTCGCGAGCTCGTTTAATTGCACATTGGTAGTTGCGCCAGACGGTATTTTTATCGTCTCTTTGGCGTTTTTTTTTTCTTTGCAGCTGCACCCTATCCATGTTTGTACGGGCCGAGATACAGTCCGCGTCCGTATTTATACGGAGCGAGATACAGTCCGCGCCCCTGTTCCATCGCGCGGTCGTGACGTTGCAGCTCCTCGAGCTGACGTCGCGCGGCTTTGTTGTCGTTTACCGCTTTCGCCACGCTGG